TAAGCAATATTTAATAGTTTCGATCAACAGACACAAAGTTGTAATGTTAGTTTCGCGTGGTAGGAGCAAACTAATATTTTGCTTGAATATTCATTATATTAATTCCTTCGGCCAGCCGATAGTACATGTCCTATATTTATTGTCATTGACAACTTTTGACAATGTTTTGATTAAATTTTGTTATCAACATTATAGTAGTTTATGGTTGTCTAATTATAATAAAGAATTTTGGTGATGAGGTATTGTTGGTGCAGTTGTAGAAAAGGCAGCGCAGATGCTTTACAGGTTGCAAAATATTCAAAAGTTTATAATTTCTCCAATAAATAAGAATGAGTGACCCACTCGTATGTAAAAGTATAATAGTTTTGTTATTATTCACACAAAAATTGACACTTTTCTAAAAAATATGTCTACAGTGTTTGCGAGTAGGTACATAATGGTTATTCTAATTCATGGAGGAAGGATAAAATATGCAATTGGCGTCTCACTATTATAAAATAACAATAAGAGTTAGACTTGCTTAGTCGACACTATGAATTATAAATATTCTATTATTATTCGTGTGTACTAATTTTACAATAGTTTTGATGCACGTACAGAAATAGTAGTAATGTGATATTGATACCTGTAAGAGCGTATGTTAGAAATAGTAACTCCTTATATTTAACATCGTCATTTTTATAAATAATTTGGAACCATTCCATTATGCATGTTTTACCGGAATAAATTATCATTTAGGGTGAATATAACTGTAAATGAACGCCCACCAATAAACATATTTCATAAATAATAATTACATTAAATTTCCATATTTTCAGAATAACAGTTTTTTTTTTGTACTACTACTACTACTACTACTACTACTACTACTACTACTACTACTCCAGTCGAATTAGATTATAAAACCTGAAAACTTGAAAAAATTATTAGTAGACATTTCATTGCACTTTATGATGGGGAAGGATATGCAGAATAATAATATCACAAAAGTAACTCAAAAGAAGTGACGCTAACTGATTTTTGAGCCGAATTTGAAACGTTCAAATAAGAAATCTCGCCGCTCCTTCTCTCGCGTGCAGGCCGTTCATTAACGTTAACTATTACTGCTGCCTGCGCGTGTATTACATGAATTATTAATGTAAAACTTTCTGAAAATAAAAGTTTAACCCCTTCTTTAATTGTCTTTAAAATCCCGGTCCGACAAGTCCAATAGTTAATTAACAATTATCGTTATAAAAAAGCTATATTGGGACCAAAGAGACGTAGGTGATTTTTCTTTTTTTTTTAATTAGCGTAAAAATTCCCGAGCGGATTTTGCCTGGCCCTGGAAAAATTTGTTTATAACGCTGTTTTGCATGTCCTACTTTGTTAGCTGTAAAGGGCCACTTAATATCAACTTTTTTAAAATATTCTTTTTCGATACGTTTCTTTGGATCAATTAGAACCTGTACTTACGATATTAATATATAAAATTAACGGTCAATCGAATCGGCTTTTGGCACACATGTTGGTCTTTAGATTGACAGTCTTTTCCATAAATTTCATCAAGTTAGGGTTAATGTCAATGCTCTATCGAATAGAAAAATTAAGAAATATTTGGTAATCATTCGAATTAGAGTACCGTAAAATTGTCGAAAAATCATAAAAGCGACAACACGAAAAGGCTCTCCTAAGAAACAACTTCATGTATGCCAGATACATTTAAAAATTGACCACTGAACACACATTTTGATACCTTGCAGAAAGATAATTAAAGAAAAGAACATAACTAGGTTACTAACGTCAAAATAGTTAAATCTTGAACACGTGTTGGAAAACACTAATGTAGAGAATCTTTTAACGTATATATCTACACAATGAATAAATATATTGTCAACTGCCGTTTCAAAATTACTTTTCCTCTAAAAACTTTAGGTATATTTTAATATCTACTTATTAACATTAAATGCCACCATTATTTCAATTTATTAATGAACTTTATTTAATAAATATTTATTTAATTATTTTAAAAGATTTCTTGGTAAACAATTCCTAAGATGCAGAAAACGGTTAAATAATTTATCGCAGCTGAACTTTGCTCTTTTTCCGAAGTTATAGAGCAAAAAACAATAGCAATCCTAAAAAACTATTTATCAATACTTCAAAATGACATAAAATCGAATACTAAAAAATGTTGGTTTCACGTGAAGTACTGTAAGGAAAAATTCTTTGATACCTCAGTATATGACATACCTTCGTGCAGAACATAATGATTTGCAAGATATTGTCAATGCGTTTTGTTTTTTAATGGTACTTATGTAGCCCCTGGTTCATTTGACTCACAAAATGTAGCTCAATTTGGTTCCAAATACGTACACATTTCTTCTTTTTCCGAAAGTGATCTATTATCATTGGGAGGTTTGAAGAATCCGTTCACTAAGGAGCCTGATGATATATCATCATTTCATCATTTATAGAGTTAAAGAATGTGCACACGCTCTCACCATTCTTTTTAATATTTCCTGAAAAGAAGAATATCAGTGGATAATTATAATTCCCAACTTTGCGAAAGTTTTTGAAACATCTTTATATAATTAATTGAAATTATGATAAAATCAGAAATTTCATTGACGATGCTCAGCATGATTAATTTTTACCCAGTTTATTTCAGAGGGTAGATAGGTTGATGTAATTCATACCGATTTTTCCACAACCGTTGAACGGCTCGACCACCGTATTCTACTAAGTAAACTTATGTTTATGGTATATATGGTTTTTCTCCCACTTTAATTGATATATTAGCTTTATATCTTAACGATAGGTGTTTGTGTGTAGCATACCGTGGTTTCAAGTCTGCTAAATTTCATGCAAAGTCTGGTGTTCCTTCTTGTGTCCCTTGATCTTCAATTTATTTATTAATGACATTATTGCTGTGTTAATGCGTACAGTCTACTTTATGTCGACGACATGAAATTGTTTTCTGTTGCGGATGATGATAATAATCAATGTGCAATGTTACAAAATAATTTACATGCTGTCAATGCCTGGTGTCATCTGAATAAACTGCCGTTGAATATTTTTGAATATAATATAATGCCTTATTCCAGAAAAAATCATGTCACATTTTTTAATTATAATTTGTATGGAGAAACCTTGCATAAGGTCAATGATATTGTTGGTTTGGGTGTAAAGTTTGACTCAAAACTAACTATAAGTAGTCATATTGAGAATATTGTTTTGTCTGCTTATAAAAAATTAGGTTTTTTAATTAGACTTTCTAGAGGTTTTGATGATATCGATTTACTTAACCTACTCCATAATTAATTTGTAAAAAAATAGGCTTGAATTATGGTTCGTTAATTTGGAATCCAGGTCTAATAGCATAGAAAATATCGAGCATCGTTATCTAAAATTGTTAACCTTTAAAGTTGACAGCGTGTACCCACCTATTGGCATTCCTCGAAAGCAACTGTTCAATAGATTTTTATTTCTTAGTTTATCTGATAGACGGAAACTTCGTTCCTTAATATTCTTATATGAAAAAGATAATACATAATAACATCAATTGTCCAAATATATTACTCATGTTAAATTTTCATGTGTTACCTTTGGAACACGAAACTTTAGAACATTTTATCTACCTACTCCACGAACAAACGCATTGAAGTTTTGACCCCTGCATAGTATATGTCAAAATACTAATATCCAAGAGCAGCTTGAAATATTTGATGCTAATATTACTAACATAAAAAAGCTGTTTGTGAAGTAATTATACAGGGTGTCCAATCGGGAAATGTGTCGATCGATATCTAGGAAAGTACTGCTCCGAAAAATTTGAAAATTTGGCAACATGGCAATGTTCCTGGGACGAACACAACTAAAATATCTAGAACTCTCCAGCACTCGACACCAACTTCGTTATTTTAAATGGGACACCCTATATATTATTGCATTTTCGGATTCTATGTGAAATTTGAAGGTCACTTTATTAAATATTCCCTATAGATTTTGAGATATTAATTTTTAAAGAAGATGCAAAAGTCCGCGGAGATGCTAGTAACTCTTTTCAGGAGCGTGATATCAAGCGGATTTTTGGTACCTCTATATTATGGTATACCCACAAATTAAAACATTTAATACTAGGTGTTTCATTTTTGCTGTTACATTTTGATAACTTCAAACAGCTATAACTTTGTTAACTTAAATGGGACACCCTATATTTTTTTACTCTGTCGAATGCAGATTGAAATTCCCTTTCAAGCCATATAATCATTGCTAGGGTTGTCGTTACTACTATTGGAGATATTTGCAATTTTCTATTTTTTGGACACTTTCTCGTATAAAATCTGTTGTCAAACTGGTCATGTCCAGAAACACTTGACCTTTAGAAATTAAAAAATCAATTTGAAATTTAGAGAATCGAGATTTTTTTCAGCATAGAAAATGATAAAATAACAAGAAAAAAAATTTTTTTTAAAATTAAATTTTTGACGATTTTGGAAATTTTTAAAAATATTGAGCGACCTCTAAAAAATTTTTTTTGAGCAGATTTTTTTGAGGGGGCTCTTAAAACATGATAAACTAACATATTTTCACAAGAGACACGAAAAAAATATTCGTTTTTTTTTTGGGCCACCCTAATCCGGATATTTAAAGTCGAATAAGATGACATCATTGGAGGGGAATTTTAAAATATTTTTTAAAAATTCATTTGATGCAACTTAAACATATTTCATTGTCATTGTAACTATTTTTTAGAAACTATTGTTTCGACCAATAGTTGCATATATTTAGCTTAAACACAAAAAAATTTTAAAGTTTGTAAATATAATTCTTGAAATGTCCATTAAAAAACGCAAGACATCCTGTATCTACTGTATAAATTTGTATTTCCACTTAAACTCGTGAAACTTGTGCTGCGAACTGATGACTGACTCACTAATTGTAAAATGAAAGCCAAACTCTTGCTACCAGATATTTAATCTACGTCATACGTATATATCTGCAAAGAACCATACCGTGTAGAACGGAGAAACAACATTGAAACGGACTAACAATTCCAACAAATAATAGTTTGTCAGTGTGCCGTCAGCAAACAACTGTTTGTTTTGTTTCCGATGAGTTGATTTTAATAACACGATTAAAATTAGTTTATTTATTTCTGTGTATGTGTTCTAGTCTACTTGTAAGTATACTTTGTTTTATTTTTAGCACAGTATTGCCAGCTAAATTTAGGAAATTTACTACCGAATGCAGAGTAGTTTTATTGCAAAACAATCCAATATGGCTCGTATAAGAAGTTTCTTAACATCTTAACCTTCACAAGAATGACCAAACTAAGTAATTTCACCAGAAACTGTGCGTTTACTGTTAATTTGTAATTATTTAAGGAATAATTATCAAATAATTATAAAACGATAAATGTGCTTTAGTAACAATTATCATAAATTTAAATTAATTCGCAGAAGGGATCAGTGACGTTATTTTTTAAATATCTATATACCTAGTAGATGTGTAAGTAACAGTCATAAATTCCTTATTAATAGGTAATATATATTTTTTAAGAGAAATGTAAAAACTTTTGTTAGTTCTACAGCTAGTTATAAAACGCTATTCGTGGTAATGCTGTTTTGGTTCATTGATTTTAAATTTGTCAGTAGGAAGTTCGTTTCAATTTAAAAAAATGTCCATGAACAATTTCCCTTAATAGAATCTAGTCCTGCCATAAAATAATATCTACCATTAGACCGTTGATAATACTACAGGATATTCACAGCTATTATACACTAAATTTAAGTAAAATATAAATAGAATATGCAATTGACAATAGGATTATTTCCAATGTCTTCCTCTTTTATTTGGTCATATTGTTTTGTACAAAACAGGTATAAAATAAAATATGTTGACCTAGTTTGCAGAAGTTTGCACATTTTAATTATTTTTCTAATAATGTTTGTACCTAATTCATATAATTGCGTTGGTGTTTCATTACAGTTAAATCTAGTCTATACTCCGCGGTCTAAATTATAGAGAGTGACTCAGACATAATATAAAAACACTATTACCGTAATGCGTATAAAATATAACATGATTTTTATACGGTTCAATATTATTTATCTTTGTGCCGCTCGCTACGCACATCGATAGAATCTATAATCGTCTATAGACTGAGTTACACTGAACGTCGATCTATATTCCATCTCTGTCTTTTGCACTTGGTAGGGAATAGGAAAATGCTTTTTTAGTTGGGTGTAAACGGACTTGATTTACCAATCCTGAGAAACATCATAGCATAAGCGTAGACGAGGGGTCTAATTCCATGGCTATAATAAATTTATAAATTAAAAAAAACACAACTGGGACGTTTTAAAATGCTGTAATAATTAAAATGGATCAAAGTGCCGGTTATAGCAAACCGTAAAAAATATTAGATGTTATGTTTTATTATCTTTTTTCAATATTTTCTATATCTTGTTGCCTTTTACGCAGACACGCCAATGGATTTTCGTTCCCGGCACGCTTCATCCCCCTTACTGCTCCAAAAGCTAGCGATTAGTCACTCTCTATAATTTCGACCGCAGAGTATAGTGCAGATTTACACATAAGCGCCTAGCAGCTTTTGTTGTACCAACATTATAAACACAAAATTTTGGTACTTATTAGCTTCCTGTTTATATAAAATATAACACATATTGTGTAGATTTTAACTTGTGGAAAATAAATAAAGAAATAGTTTATCTGCAAATTTTAAATAAAATCAATATTTTATATGATTTATATTGATACGTCATCGATGTGAATAACACTAAGTTGATAAAGATTAATGAAAAATAGCATTGTTTAACCGAAGGCTTGAAATTCTGATATTGTTAGTCAATTAATTTATAAAGTTGCAATTAAATATAATCGATAACCTTATCACTATAAAGGAAAAACAATAAGTGCAATGACATATATTTAAATATTGTTTATGTACATGGCGAATAAATAGATCATAACAACACTGTATAAATTAAATTTTATCCCATATTAATTAAATAAACCTATTGCACTCTATTTAAAATTTCTACACGAATATATAATTAATTCGTCTACGTAATTTGCTCGTATCACATTTTCTCTTTCATGCACCTTTGTGTTTTTTCATTGAAGTGTGACGCAGACCTTACAGTGAATCTACCCATATTCATTCTTACTTAGACGACCTTCAGTTTTACTGCTTGTATTGCTTACCAAATTCGTTCAATGATAATGTTCTGAAATAAAAAAGAAATGATTAGGATTACTGCAATTCATTAAGATTTCAAAATAAGTTAACAGCAAATAGTAATGAGATTAATTTTCGTACTTATTTTTTAGCCACTGGTTTTTATTGTACTAATTCTATGAGCTACGATATAAATATAATATCGTAGTAGGTACCTTCTGTTACAAAAAAACTACATCCACATATAAATAAAAGTTCCTTGGTTTCATTGACCGACAAATGATTTGTGATGAATTATTTTCAATAATAATGGCAATACGAGCTGGTTCTAAAAAAATTGAATTAATCGAATTGAAAAACTATACGCAAAAAACGTTAAGTAGTTTTTTATTTTGTTAGGGAATTGAAATAAAACACATCTAACAATTTATAATCATATACCTAATCATATACATTGAAAAAATGAACCGATTCATTTTTGAATATTACAAAAGCAATTTAGAATGTTTTTTAATTTTAGAAAAGTACCAAAACATAGTTTTGTAGTTAGTTCTCTTTTTTTATACAAACGGTAGTCATTCATCATTACCCCTAATATCCTGATGGAACCTGTCTCCTTACTCGTTGCTAACTGCCTCTAGGTGTTCAGGATAGCCAAATATAAATGCAAAATATGTATTTTATGAACATGCGACATCGTAGTAACTGATAAGCATTCAAAACCTCCTCTTGGAGTGTTTTTGTAGTTCTCATCTTTAATATTGTTCAAAAATACTTTTACCATACAAATTAATTCGAAGAGGCTAGTTAATTACATTATTCTTTTTCTTTAAAGGGAGGATCGTTAATGAGTTGTCTTGTTTGAGATCCAAGAATATATTCAATGTTAAGGTCGATTATTATTAAATGGAAACTCGAGAACCTAACATTCCATTTTCTATAATATTTGTTTACTTTGCAAGTTCAGCTCATTGGTTCAAACCTAGGTCACCTATCAAATTGTTTAATCCTGTGAATTTTTACAAGATCGACAATATGCCATTTTAAATTTAGATTTAAAATGCTCATTAGAAAACCAGTTGACTAAATATTTTCAATGGCGAAGAAAAAAGCTATTGGACTTCTTACTCTACAAAAATTGACAGAAACGACTAACGAGAAAAATGTGTGTACTAATATAAATATCCCGTTCTGGTAAGCATTTATACTGATTGGCATTCTAGGGACATACGTCCTAATAGAGTCTTTGTAATAGAGAAAATATAAGCCCTAAGCCAAAGATTTTGTTTTTAATGCATTGATACCTAATTGGACCAGAATGGGATATAAAATGAAGCTAACGTTTTGCGTACAGTTTAATATATTTATAGGAATGTGTTCTGTTTGTTTTGAATTACACAGCATTAAAGATATTTTAATTAAGTGGTGTTTGCTGTCGGCGAAGCACCAATATAATTGTTTAATTTTGTTTTGTTATTAATATAAAGTTTACATTCATTCTCTTTCATTGACCTTCATTACTTCAACATTCGTATATAATCCGGCAAGTTTTATCAACTAATTTTAGTAAGCAGGTGTGTGTGTAATACCTAGTTGTGTTTTCTTTTTCTCATATCAAAAACAGTTTATTTCATATTTAAAACAAATGCAAAAAATAACGGAAGTAATTCCTTGTTCAAAATTAAGAGAGTATTCGGTATAAAAAGTATATTTCTACCCTCTCTTTCTTTGGATTTATGACCATTCAAATGGAAAGAGAAAATTTAGTTTTTATTTCCTAGAATATGAAGAAAGTTATAAAAATTAAATTAGGCACATTTTTCCTACTATCAAAAAAAAAACACTTACTGGGTAATTTCTTAATCTTGCTCTTCGATTCCAAGGAGTGGAAATAAGGACACTTTCATGTAATTCCTTGAGTAACTTTATGTCTACCACCAATACGGTCTTTTAATATCTCCTATAGATGGCATGATTTATTTGAAATAAAATCAATCCTTCCTATTTTTTTCGCAACTGTAACAGTTCTTGGAAAAAAAATAATAATAATAAAATCGGCCATAGTGTATAAAAGTTTTGCAGTTTGCGGTTTCTCGGTTATATAATATCTTCTAAGCAGGCATCTTTTACATTAATAGTATATTATTCAACGAGCGTATAATGATGGGTATTATTCACGAGGTGAAGTTTACGGCCACGAGCCGCAGGCGAGTGGCCTAAATCACCGAGTGAATAATACCCATTATAGCTAAATTAAGGAAGCATCTGACAGTAGTGATTAATGACTCATTAATCACTGCCGTGATTAATGGGTATTAATAAGGTCGAGCAAACAGACGTATAATGGGTACATTATACAATAGTCGTGGATAATAGTATATTATTCAACGAGCGTATAATGATGGGTATTATTCACGAGGTGAAGTTTACGGCCACGAGCCGCAGGCGAGTGGCCTAAATCACCGAGTGGATAATAGCCATTATACGGGAGTAGAATACTATACTTTATCCACGACTACTAAATATTTTTGTTGAAGTTTTTTTTGTTTTTAGTTCGTTTTTTAACACAATTTAACACAAAATATCAAAACACTGAGAAATCTATGCACACAAACAATAATGTTGACAGGTTTGAGTCAAATTTGTTTTGTTTTAAAAGCTACTTAGATTTATGAAATGTTTCGAAAAACATGGTATGTTAAGCAACAGATATACGACACGCACAAACGAAGTCGCTGATGGCTCAGTGTAGATGCTCCTTCCCTTCCAACCGCTGGTCCCGGGTTCGAATCTGGTCTAGGGAAATTCACTTTTTTAATTTTTTTTTTATATGTACAGCACTGAATTGAAAATATTTAGTGGTATACACGATAAAATTAAAAAAACCGACTGTTTGTAGCAGAACAATATAATATTATAGCTAAATCAAGGAAGCATCTGACAGTAGTGATTAATGACTCATTAATCACTGCCGTGAT